TTTTTTTTTTTTTTTGTTCATCTTCTTGTACCCGTAAATAGCTCAGTCAGAAAATAGAATGAACACTTGAGTGATGATGACAAATGTTTGTTGGAACACTTATATCCATTGCTTAAAAAATCTCCGAAAAAAAAAGAAACAACACCGACAGAATCTTTACAATCAAAAAAAAAAATTTTTTTTTCTTATTTTGTTGTTGTTATTTTTACTAATTCAGTAAAACGAAGTGATAGCAATCCAACAACAGTTTTTGGGGAGTTAAATTTGCTTATTGTACACTTAAGTGTTAACACTGACCGTCAGTTTACAGTGGTATTTTATGTACTAAAGCTATATTTTATGATAGTTGAACAATGTTTTTGCAGCTTTTTTTTTTTTTTTTTTAGTGGTATTATGAATGTACATAATTATCTACAAAAAAAAGAAAAAAGCTTTGTAATTTAAAGTAAAGGATATTACTGATTGATATAACTATTGTTATAGCGCTGTTGTTGTCATTTGTAATCTGATGATTTCAGTACAGAGAGTGGTGGTAAGGAGGATGACAATTTAATAAGTTGTTCAAAATCAATTTCTGTTTGAAGTGACATTGTTTTGTTTGCTTTACATATTTTTATCTATTAGGTAAAAAAAAAAACTTTTTTTTTTTAAGATAGAAAATATATTAGAACAAACATTTGTAGCAGACAAAAAAATTGTAGAAATCAAAAGGATTTTTTTTTTTTTTCTGCTGATGATGATTGCTCAAGTAAACTTTTTGTTTACAGATCTTTTAATCTATAAAATGAGCACAAAAAAAAGAAAAAAGTATCATACAAATGCATAACTGAATGTCAAAATCTGTTTAGACGAATAAATAAACTGAAGAATAAGAAAGAAAAGAATTGGAAGGACAATATTTTTGCATAGTTCTATGTGTGTTATAGGTGTTATGTTTGCTTCAAAATTTGTTCATCTACCTTTCTGTTAATCACGAATTTTTGGTACAATGAGATAGACAATATTTTCGTGTACTTCTCATGGAAATATTATCAACTCCGTCATTGTTCCCCATACATCGATAAATAACTCGCGAATTTTGGTTGTTATTGTCTCTGTTGTTGTCGTTGTGATTTGGTACTCAAACAGAAACAAAAAAAAAAGAAAGAAAGAAGAACAGTCTGAATTGTTTAAGCATTTAAATGATCCATAGAAAACTGCAGACGAAAAAAGTGTATAGTCATTTTGACAATAAATTGGAGACAGTTGTTCTGTTGGAATAGAAATTCAACAGGCGAATAACTGCTGCTGCAGTATCCCTTCGGTTCATTTTATTCCATTTTGTCTTCTGGTATTTGGGAGCTATCTATCAGAATCATTGAAATTTGAACAATGAAACAAAGACAAAAGAAAAGAAAGAGTACCATTAATTCATTCTTTAAAAAATCACTAAAAGTCATTAAAATTGTTGTTGTCATTTGTATTGATTCTGTTGATAGAATATAATTGCGGAATGAATGTTAACCAATATGGATGGTATAGAAACTTGTGGTTTACACTTCTGTAAACCGTATATTCTAATTCAACAATTGTTGTTGATTAGAAAAACCAAATTTTACTGTTTTGTTAAGAGACAGAAGAAAAAGAGGAGAAAAAAAGGAATAAAAAATTATTTATTTTCAAAATTTTTTTTTGTATATGTAAAATTGCATATTATGACTGCCACTTTTTCTTCTCTCTCTAAATTTACTGTTTCGTTTTGTCGTACAAATAAACCCTCTTTTGTCGTCTTATTTTGTCCCGTCTTTTTAACAGTTATAAAAGTGTAAAAAAAAAAGTTTGTTTTTTTTTCTGAGCATCAACAATTTTCTCCAAATTTGAATACTTTTGACAGGATTATTTTAATCAATCTTTTAAAACATAGCCCATATTTTACATGAGATATTTGCTGTCTCGTTTTCAGATAAATCTGTTTACCTGTTATTCACTTTCTTTTTCTTTGTTTATCAGTCTTTGTCTGTCAAACTGTCACCAAGCCATAAAAAGTTTTTTTGTCCCGGATACTTTCAATGGTGTACACAGAAATAGGATTCTTGAAAAAAAAAAAAAGGTTTTGGCAATTTTTTTTTAACTTACGTTACAAGTCATCAGACGATTAGTTAAGATCAGCAAACAGGAAAAAATTTTAGATGTTGCTGATGATGAAATGTTGATAAAGTTAATGCCTGAGAAATAGTTCAAAATGCTGTTGTGTTTGAGAATGGTGAGATAGTTTTTGGCCACTGATCAGTGGACAATCTGTATATATTAGCAGAAAAGTGAATAACCAATATAAATTGTAACTTCAACATTTTTTTCAAATTATTGAAGGTCTAAAGAGATTTACAGATCTTTCTTGTTTACTGCATATAACTGTATCAAAAATTTGTGTTTAAACACTACAGAAAAGCATTATAAAATTTATTACCATACTGAAAAACAAAGAGGAGAAAAATTATTATCATATAATAGGAATCAGTGAACATATAAAAAAAAAAAGAAACGACGAACACACATACAGTGTTTTTATTCAAACGTTTTCATTTTCTTCTGACTACTTGAATCAGAGAGGTGAAAAAAATTCACCCAATATGGAAAGCCGTTTTGTCGTTGTTTTTGCCGCATCTTTTTTTTTGTAGTCTTTAGAGATTTCAAAGAAATACACTGATTAATAATAACACAGAGATACTAGAACAAATTTTTTTCTTCTCACCTTTTGCTTAGTCTAGTCTTACTTCGGCTGAGTCTTATTCAGTATTATTTTTGAAAAACAAGAATCCTTAGAACGTGTCGTCAGTTGGCAGTTTTGAGAAAAATAGCAGCTTAAAAACTGATAACTAAAAAACGATATCAAATGAAGTAAAAAAAATTGTAAAATATGATCTAGCAAATAGAAAAAAAAACAAACAAAAGACTATAGCAGTTTATAGCTTTATCTTTCTTTTTTTTTACTTTTTTTTTCTGCCTTCAACACATAACTGTTTAACTTTCAAACACTTAAGTGATCACTCGTGTTGTGCCAAAAAGAAGTTACCGGCTATTGGATCACCTGAAAATTTACAAAATTATCATATATTAGCTTGTTAATGAATAATGCATAGATATGCTGCTACTGCTACTGGTCCGTAGCATATATCCCCGTAGTGCCGATATAAAAGAAACAAATATTCCTTCTTTTGTTTGAAAAAAAGAAGAAGAAGACAGCTAAAAAGTGGGATAACTTTACCTAGATTATGCTTTTCCATAAACTGTTTGACGCTGAATTTTGCTCTCTGCTTAATTGTTGGTACAGTTAGTCGTCTTCCCTGATGCTCAAAAAGTAAAATAACATATCTATGCAAATCGGTTCTCGGTTGTGGTGCCGGACTTCCATAGGTCATCTGATGTTGTCCTAAAAAAAGATATTCTGAGTTTAATCCGATCAGCAAAAAAAAAAACTTTTTTTTTACAACCTCCCTTCTCTTAACCACAGTTTATTTGTCTGTAAAATATTCTTTTATACTGATACAAGAAAATGAAAAAAGAAAAACAGTTATTGAATGAACAAACCTCCATTGATTCCTTCCAATACATTACTGGCAGGAATATTTGTTACCTGAAAAAACAATTAAACCGCTTCAGTTACAGATTAACTGATAAAATTTTCGAAAAAAAATTACCAGTTATTGAATCACCGGAAAATTTACAGAATTATCATATATCAGCATGTTGATGAATAATGCATAGATATGCTGCTACTAGTAATAAGTGAATAAAAAAATGACTATGGCTAAAAAATTTTCAGCAATGTTTCTGTTTTTTGGTATGAATTTCGACGTTTTGGTGCAACAGTGTTTTTCAGTTACTTTCATCAAGACATAGAACACAAAAAATTTAACAACTTTGCAACAACTGTTCAGTGTTGAAACAGTTTGTAGGAAGTATAGAATAACTGTACTGTTTGCTTCATGTAGCCTTTACAAGTCAACAGTTGCCACTGCACAAAAGGTTCAGCTGAAGAAGCAGAATAACTAGCCATTTTTAATTCCAGTTCACTGTTTCTGATCATATCTTTTGTTCGCTGATCACGTTTTCAGTCTTCAGTATCACATTCTTGCATTTGTTTTACTTTCCAAATCCACAGTGGTAGAGGAAAGAATGGGACAAAGCACTTACATATACGATGCCACTGTTACTGCTTTTTTAAACGCTTAATAAATTGAGATTTTTCAACTGTAGAATACAAATAGTCTGACCTAATATTTCTGAACATCTCGAATGTTTTAGTCGAAAACGATCTGAGGGTATGGATACACAGAGAGCGTCTGTGTTACAAAGCGGAAACTTGAAGAAAAGATAAATAGACTGTTTATTGTGGACTCCTACGCAGCCGAATGATGACGAAAGCAGAATTTTCCAAATGTTTAATGCGTTTCTAAACCAAGCAATACTTTGCAGTTCCGTTTTTTACTGTTCATTTCCCTATTTTTAATTCTCAGTTTTTCGTTCAGAAAACAGAATTTTAGCTAAGCAATAAAAAAAAAAAACATTGGTCATTAAATGTGTACATATGACACTGTTACAATGGGATCCATCGAAGAAGCTGCACAAAAAGGTTGAAAAAAGAAAAGTAAAAGTTTTATGTTCTGTGAGCACCATTATACACAGAACAGTGATGAAGACTGTAGTTATCTTTTGTAGCAACAGCGTAATAACTCTGCTGCGATAAGTTTGGAAAATATGAATTTAAAAAATATTTATGTATTTGGAGATGATGTGTTGTGCAGGAAACGTGATGATTAATTTTTGATATATTAACAGTGTATTTGCTAATAACAATAAGCAGATGTTAAATAAGTGCAAATTTGTCGCTACACTGAGACTGTCTTCTCTCTTTTCCTTTACTTCTTAAAATTTGACGTCCCATTCTTTGTTTCGAGTTACTCTTTTTCTTCTTTCACGTATCCACTAAGTTGTGAATTTTTGTCCGGAGCAACCACTCTGGTTAAACTTAATCTGTTTTTCAAACTTTAATTCATTTGGAACGGAAGAAAGAGTAAAAACAATAAAAAATGTTGTTCTTGTGTTCAACAAGATGAACAGAGTTTTACGTGACCAGATCCGAATTTCAAACATAATTTTGAAGGAGAGTAGGGTGGCTAATCAGCGGGGATAGTTGGAACAGATGAATATAAACGGACTACACAGTGAGGGCTTGAATGGAATCACTGAGATTACCTCTTCTCCCTCTCTTGTATCTGCTACACTGCTGCTGCGGCTGCAGCCGTTGTTGCCGTTGCTAGTTATGTTGATTTAAGACTTCAGCCATTTCAAACAGAAGCTAATGAACAGGTTCGGAACGTTCTGCTGGTAGGTTTACTTTAAGGTGAGCGAATAAGCCATATGGCGAAGGCCAACGAAGGAGAAGGAAAGGGAGACCTGTAAAAGCTGGGAGCGGTACAGGAAACTGTTCTTTATCATACCGCTGTGCGATTGTGGGCGTGTAGGCAGTAGCAGAATTTAATGTAATAAATAATCCTTCTTTTCTGTCATCTTTAAACTTTATTCCGTCTTCTATTTGTTCGTCATCGACCACAGAAGTGATTGAGAACTTTACGATGAGAGATGCTAATGAATAGGGTTTTTTTCTTCAAGTTTTTACATTTTTTCGACGAATGTCAGAGAAGAATAAGTATGATGGACGAGAGAAAGCTATTGAGAAACTAATGTCATATCCGAAAACAATAGTTTAAGCAAATGTTTTCTGTTGTAAGAAATTTGTTCAGACAACAGTGGTTCAAATCTCAATGAATGAAAAAAGAAGTGTAAGAAATGAAATGAAGAAAAAGCGAAAAAGCAAACAAATTAGTTGCCTTACCAACCAGTGAAGCCATTCAGCAACTGAAGGATTCTTGCGCGAAAGGTTATCCGGATCTATAAAGTCCACGCGTTATCTGGTTTTTTCAATAAAAAAATTATGCTGCTGCAGTTTTTTGATTTGTGCCGACATAAAATTCACTATACTACAAAAAAACCCGTCTAATCAACTGATTTTTACAGGTTTTCTTCATTTTTTGATGATCAAACAAAGGTGAAACTTTAAGCAACAAAAACAAAAACTTAAATGCTGTCAAAGAAGTTGCAAAATGTTATAACAATTATCCATGGCAAAAAAAACCAATTCATCGAACAAACTGCTCACCAATCATAATTAGTGTAAAGGTTGATTCTGGATCCACATTTAGTGTAAATCGTGGAGCAAAACGTAGATGTCGTGTAGACATAGTTTGACCGGGCTGAACCTGGATACCATCCCAGTTGCACTGAAAGTTAACCACATAGTCAAATGACGTTGTAATCATACTCAAATTTTCTTTTATAATCACCAGAAAAGAAGAAAATAAATAACCATAAATTTTCATCTGTGAAAGCAAAACCGTGTCTATCTGACAGATTTCGTTCAATCATTTTCAATCATTTTTTTAAACCATTTCCTTCCACCTTTCCTCTCTGCCCTCCTATACAAGAAATTTTATCCCTTTAGAAGTGTAAAAAACTATTGGTTTTTATCCAAAAGAAAAAAAAAACGAACAACAGGAAGAAAAGAAATGATAAAGAGAAAAATTGATAAAGAAATGAGCAATAAACAAAATAAAAAAAAAAAAATGGAAAATCATATTTTTTTCACTTTTACTGCACACATTTTTTTAATGCTTATACCACACTTTCAATCGGTCGATAATTATTCAGTTGATTTTTAAAAATAAATTAAAAGAAGAAAAAATCATTCCGGTTAATCAATACAACTAGTTTTTTTCCCTGATAAACATAATGTTGATGATTTATTGTAACTTCATAATTTTATCTGACATCTAATAATTCAAAAAAAAGAAAAAAAAAATGAAACTCTGTTGTGAGTGTCACCATTGTGATCATCTGTACTTTCCCCGGTTTAGTTCTTCTACTCCCATTTCCTTCTCACAGCTCCTTCATCCCGCAACAGTCAAGAGTAAATAAATAAAAATTAAAACAATTTTGAATAATTCTTTCTTTCTTCTTGATTTCTTTTTTTTGCTGTCATTTAAAAGCTGAAGAACAATACAGATGAATGTTTTAATCTAAAAAAGGCAATTAAAAAGCAGAAGCTTTAAATGTAGAGGAAGGAAAACCAGTGATGCCAAACGTAAATCGTTTGTTGCCACAGTGATCTTCCGATATATTGCGGATGTTCTGTTGTACATCGCTTTCTTTTTTACCAGTTTGATACACCTATTCCTAACAAAAATTTAAACCTGTAACAACTCCTAAACCTTCACCTCTGCCTCCTCATTTTTTTTTTGTGGATGATACTATAGTTATT